ATAAATGCATTTTCCTACGGCTTCTCTGCTTTCCAAATTGGAACATTTTCTGGGCTTTTGTTGGTATAATAATAGGGTGGAGTTCTTTTTCAAAGCAGGCTATAAAATCTTCTGACCCTGCCTTTGTGCTGAGATTTTGCCCCTTGAATGTCTTTATTGCAGTTATGGGCTGTACGGTATACCTCAGGAAGGGTGGGCCATCCTCTAGCATCCTGGGACCAAGGTAAATGGCATATGGGGCTCAATCCACTAAGTACTGCTTCAGTTATTCCAGGAGTTGACTGTAGGCTTTAAATGCATGTCCTGTTAGAATGCATGGAGCTTGTGCAGCAGTACCTGATCAGATGCTCTTATGGTGCCTCTTTTCCTGTAAGTACCTTTTTAATATATCTGCGCAGACACGTGAACCCAGGACTTCCACACTGAAGCTTAACCCATTTTTCAATATGTTTTAATGTCCTCCCACAGAAATATATATTTAACATGCATGTTATATATATATATCTGACATGATTGATGTCATGTTCCTGATATGTTCCATGTGAGGTTCCTGATCTGTTCCGTGTGAGGTTTCTCAGTCAGTTGTCATAATAATTGAATTATTCCAGTTGTGACATAGGACTTTGTTTACACAGAAAAGATCCTCTGGGCACCTTTAGCAGATTTCTGTTGCGTCCCTTGTATAAGGTGACTTGCAAAAACTGGCTGCGGGAAAGCAAAGGTGGCTTTCCACTACCTTTCAGGCACTCTTATTTGTGTTTTTACCCCAATGTGTGCAGCAGTCCATCGAGGTACTATTGTCCAAAAGATCATGTTTTTATTTTTATTTTTTTAATTTTTTGCTATCACCCTGTAATAGTGCATAGCAATCATGAGCTTTAATGGGCTGCTTTTCAGTCACAACTGAAAGCTTTCCTGTTGAGATATTATCAGTTTTGGAAGCTAGTCCAATTATTCTCCTCTTTTCATGAGCTCACATCCTTCACCTGTCCTGTTCCCCGGAGACTGAGCAGCTGATCTTGGGTTCCCTGTCCTTCAAATCGGTCAGATCTGCTTACAGATCTGAAAAGTAAGGGTAGAATGCCATCCTTTGGACGTTGCCCTCTTGCAAACCTCGTTTTGTTGTCTTGAGGATACTGTGGTGGCTCCAGGGGCTTTATTGAAAGGAGGGGAAAACATTGCTCTGTTGCGCTACCAGAAGCTGTCATTCTAACCTTTTCCCAGGTTGCTTTGGGTTTCCTCTGTCATTGAACAGAATGGTTGATTGGAGGTCTCACCTCGTAAAGGGTATGCATTAATTCTGGGATGGCTTTAACAGTTACAAAGGCAAAGTACTCCGAGGGTTGGCAAGTAGGATATGATGAAAGCCTGGGATAATGTGTTTTAGGTGACTAAGATCACAGGAATTGTGTGGATGATGAGTAGCATTTCATTCTGTTCCTTCTTAAGGCTACTTGGCCTTGACCCGTTAGTGTAAAATGTGTGTTCAGGGATCATGTGATTTTAAAATGTGCAAAGATGTCATGCTTTGTAATTCTTTGAAATCTTTTAAATATAAAATAAACCCAAGGGGATTCCAGCTCCCTATGACTAAACACATTTTAATGGTCTCCTTGTATGATTGAGAACATCTTTATCTACTGCTGCATAATGACAATATCTGTTTGACTCTTGTGTCTTTGTTGGGCGGTACACAATTGTTAGTGAGTGCTTTCCTGCATTGAACTTGATCGGTTCTCCAGCAATTTCATAGTAACCTGGCCAATTAATGCAGTTAAAGAATATATTCCAAGCCCTCTGGCTTATGTAGGAAGTAAAAATGGAATTATAACCTTTACAAGATTTCCTAGCATTTTGTTGCTTACACAGTATGGCAGTTTTAGTTGCTGTTACCAATGTTTAGCATGCATGCTGCATACTTCTTTATGTCTTGCCAAATAAGAAAATTGTTCTTTCAAGTTACAAACAAGATTTGAAAGGATGGCAATCATCTATGCATGAGACACTTGGTCTCTTGTTTACCCCCTTCTGAAAAATAGCAAACTATTACATTTTCTATAGTTTAAACCACTTGTAGTTCTTAAAAGGAAAACAAACTGAGCATTGTTCCCTAGTTCCTGTTACATTTCTTTGGAATCTTGCTATAATTTGAGCAAATATCACCTATGTATAGAAGCATAAACATCACAGCTTTGCATGAACAAGGTCTACCTCGATGGCTTCAGAGCAGCTGAATGAATGAATGAATACCTTTCGAAGAAAAAACAATTGCACTGTTTTTACCACTCCTGTTTGCACCTATTAAAATATCCTTTAAAAAAAACCTTACAGAACATGCAAAGGAACCAATTGGGAGTAACCAATTCCTTCATTACTACAAGCAGCATCAGAGACTAGCACTGAACTTGGTATCTTTGTTCATGAATCATAGGCACATGCATTCATCAAACAAAGAATAAGTCAAGTTTTATATGTATTTAATTCAAGTCTTAAGATTTTACTTTTTTTTTGTTGTGAGTTGCTCAGAGACCTGTAGTAGTGTTGTTATTAATAAACAGGCTTAAGGGTGAAAATGGGTGCTTAATGTACCCAGAAAGGATTAGAGGCTGAATCTGAGGCTCTTGTATATATGCGAACCATATTATGTAGCACACCTACATATATTTGTTATCAGTGAAAGTTTCCTTGACATCTTTATTTAGGTATTTATTTATTCAGCATATAGCCTGTATTTTACCAAAACTGGCCCACAGAGAACCTTTTACCTTTCTGTATAGAAGTCTTCATATAGATTACTGTACATCCATCCCTCTTGCGTGAAACAGGTCAAACTACTAGAGTGCACATATTTAGAAGTTTACATGCACTGACTTTTGCTGGCTGCAAGCAGAACCCTGGCTGCCTCCATGTTATAATCATAGGATTGCTTTAGCCCAGCATTTGCCCTTTAAAATTCTGCTGTACCTGCCAGACTTTAACATTAAATTTATCAAGTGCTGAATGGGTATCACTGTTGGTTCTGTGAAATGTTAATAGGAAAAGCTGGTGCTGAGTTCATAAAGAAACAAGAAATCACAAGATATCAGGAAGTCATAGGACGCTGCTGAAGTATGTCTGTGAGGTAATAGCCACTGCAACACGGAACAAATAATTGCATTTAGTCTCCCAAAATAAGTCAGTCTTTCCCTCCCTTAACCCTCCCCACAGGTGTTTTAAATGGCATTATGCATGAGACGTAGTTTTTAAAACCAAATTAACAAAACTTTAAAACCCAGTTTTAAAAATAACTTTTTAATATAGACTTTGCTCTATTTTAAAATAATTTTAAGCTTCTTGTTATGTATACTACTATGTGAGCACTGTGAGTAACAAATGTGATAGATATTATTAAGCATAAAAAAAATATATGAAAAGACTAATCCTCATATCATCCCCACAAAACTCCAAGACCTGTGGTTTAAAATACCCCTCAACAAAACAAGAAAGAATGGAGGAAAATCTTGTTTTTCAGCGCAAGATATAAAAGTGCTAATCACATTTCAGCAAAGTACTATAATAAGTGTTAAATACTAGTTTTTGCAAAATATTTGTTCGTTGAGAAAGTGGTTCCCCCAGACCTGATATATCTGTTTAGTATGTAAGACCACCATTTGCAGGATGTACAGAGGGGAAAATAACAGTGCAAAGGAATATAATTTTCCATTCAAAAATATTATGTTCTTCTGCATGTATAGAATCTCAGGGGGTTGATCTTCCCCTTGGGTATATAAACATGAAGATAATTTTTAAGGAAGGGTTTAGGAGGTAGACATGGTAGTCATACCAAAAATAAGCCTTATGGCAGGTTGAAACCTAATATTTTTCTTTGCAGGAATGGAGACAGGGCATAAGCTTTTATGGACTGCAGCCCATTTCATCCACTGTATCTGCAGAAGTGGCCTGCAGTTGGCAGAAACTTATGGCAAATGCAATGCATTAGTTTTTGAAGGGCATCAAGGCTCTTTGTTTTTGTTGAAAGTCTTCCTTTCTGCTCCTCAGCAGTGGTTCCCAACCTTGGGTAACCTGAATGTTCTTGGACTGCAGCTCCCAGAAACCCCACCCACAGCACAGTTGGTGGTGAAGGCTTCTGGGAACTGCAGTCCTAGAACACCTGGGCTACCCAAGGTTGGTAACACTGCTCCACAGTGTTCCAGGATCGCCATACATCATTCAGCTGAATGGTAAAGCGTGGGAAGGAGTGAAAAGAACCTGAAAATGGGATTAGGGTGTTTGGTAGTTGGAGGCCTTGCTTGCAGTATCCTACAGGAGAACATATCTGGGTGGCTGAACAGAGGCACTCTTGCTGGGGGGGGGAGGGATCATCACATGCTACAACATTTTGTTGCAGTTTATTCGCGAAGGCTTTCACGGTCGGGATCTAATAGTTGTTGTGGGTTTTTCGGGCTCTTTGGCCGAGTTCTGCTGTCCTCTGAAGATGCTGGCCACAGAGACTGGCGAAACGTTAGGAAGAACACGGCCAAAGAGCCCGAAAAACCCACAACAACCATTTTGTTGCAGATTTCACTAGTTTGGTAAAAACATAAATACTGTTTATAACTCCCACATCTTTTCAATGGAAAACTATACAGTACAGAGGTCAACAGGTCTAAGGTAGAACATGTATTTATAACCACTGTCCACCCAGGAAGGATATCTTCTTACTTGCTGGGCATTGGTGTCTTGTACCTAAGAATGGGCCTTGTTCTCCCTGCAAAAGGAAGGCTGACTCTGGTGTATCCAGGAGCTGCCAGTGTCCAACATGCTGAACTATCAGGATGTTTTTGTCTGTCACTCTCAAATGTCAATTTTTATTGTATTATATTTTATCTTGGTGTAAGGAGTCTGAAATCCGTTGAAATCTGCGCCCCTCATGGAAATGTTTATGACACTGCAATTGAAGAAAATAATGTATCTTCAACAAGATTTAATATTTTATATCTGTGGTCTTTTGTTTTTGACAGCCTGAGGAGGAGCTTGATCCTGAAGAGAGGGATTGTTTCCTTCAGCAGCTTTACAAGTTTATGGAAGACAGAGGTAAAAATGATTAGCCTGTCTAGGAATAAACATAACTGGAGCTCATGTGAGCAGTGTGGCATTGTATTTTATTAATCCATGGCTAAAATCCTGTTGCTTCGCATAGTAAGTCACAACTGGAGTTAAGCCCATTGGATCAGTGGGGATTGATTGATTAATTGATTTAATTTCTTAAATATTTGTATCACTCTGCATGGGTAACAATCAATAGGATTTAGTGAGTCAGCTCCTCCATAAGGAGGATTCAGTGGGTGACTTAAGTAGCAGGATTTCAATCACATTCCTGCGCGCTTTTACCTGGAATTGCGTTCCATCACACTCATTGGTATTTACTTATGAGTAGATGTAGATAGAATTGGACTGCTCTGTATGCATGCATCACCTTCCCATAAAAGCCATGAAATATAAGCTGTGTTAACAATGTAGAATCCAAGCAGTGTTTATGGGGGAGGCACGTAATACTTACATTTGTTTAATACTTTGATTAAGTCACTAAATTTTAATAGAACATGGTTATATCTCCTCCTCAAATACATCCAGGATATTACAAGAAACATACAGAATTCTGGTCTAATGTACCCTCCCATTGAGTGATTCTATTAACCTAGATGTTTAGAAGTACTTAGAATATGATTGTCTGGAAATGCTCATTTGATTTCAGCATTTACAGGCAAATGTCAGGACTCTTTGACATTTTCCTCGAATGCTCCTAAAATGCTGAGATTGCTGACAAACATTCTCTTCTGCTGGATTTTGAATAATTATTATAAAATACACCTTGAGGTAGTCAGTTTGGTGGCAACATTTTAAGTTTTAATTTTCTTCAATATGATGTGAATTGAGAATTTCTCTAGAGGAAGTGAGATGATTTAAGCATTAAAAAGACTGTGCTGTAAAGTGAAAAGGCAAAGCCAGCGTATTAATACCTTTTGTTCTCTTTCTTAATTAGGAACCCCTATAAACAAGCCACCTGTTCTGGGATATAAAGATCTTAACCTCTTCAAACTTTTCAGACTTGTACATCAGCAGGGTGGGTGTGACAATGTAAGTGTAGCATTTCTTAACACTATCCTGCATTATTAATTTTCCCATTAAATGCAAGTTTAAATTTTTATTAGGAAATGTATAAAAGATGTTAGCAACTGAAAACATCTCCTCTTTCTTCCACCCATGCACCCAAAAGATTGACAGTGGAGCCGTATGGAAGCAAATTTATATGGATCTTGGCATTCCTATTCTGAACTCAGCTGCTTCCTACAATGTAAAAACTGCTTATAGAAAGTAAGTAGTCCTTTTTCATTATTCAAACTAAAAGGCTCCTGCCTAAAAGAATGAAAGGTTCTGCATGCATAGATTTTTGTAATCACACTTTTTTCTTTCAGCAGCTGTCATTCATATTTGCTGTGAACGCAGAAGAACCAGAGAGTTAACCATTTGGGGGATGGAGAATCTAATAACAATAACTTAATTGTGCTACACACATTGTATTTAATAATCTTAGAACTGCAAAACTGGAAGGGACCCTGTGGATCATCAAGTCTGGCCCCTATCAAGGAGGCACGGTGGGGAATTGAGCCACCACTATAGTGGGCTAGTATAGTGGCAAGCATCTACATTACCATACAGTTAGAAAGTAAAATAGAAAGCTAGTCAGCAACAGCTAGGATAAATAACAATTGAATTTCCTGTTGTCTTCACTAATCTGACACACTGTTACTCAGAACATCTGGAAGATGAGTGAAGCAAAAGAAGAGAAAAGCCACTGTTTATTACTGCAGCTGAAGATAAATGTAGTAGTATGTTTAGGGGCTGTTGACACCTTGGATTTATCTCTAGATCAGGCGGTTACCTATACTAAAGAAGAATGTTGAGGTTCTTCTTCATGGCCTCTGTGAATCCACACAATTGGGTTGTTCTGCGCCTGCGCTGAAAGTCTCAGATGTTTCTAGAGCTTAAAGACACATGGTTAGTGGGACGTGCCCCCATGGAGCACATTATCCGTCCATCCTAGGTCCCCTCAGTTCCTTTTTTTCTGCCATGTTGAACAGACCTGTTCGGAGAAATAGAGCACTACTGTATATTGAATCATATCTCCCTTTTCAATCATTATTTCTACAATCGTTTCTTTTACCTGGAATTGGGTTCCATAACACTCATTGGTATTTACTTATGAGTAGATGTAGATAGAATTGGACTGCTCTGTATGCATGCATCACCTTCCCATAAAAGCCATGAAATATAAGCTGTGTTAACAATGTAGAATCCAAGCAGTGTTTATGGGGGAGGCACGTAATACTTACATTTGTTTAATACTTTGATTAAGTCACTAAATTTTAATAGAACATGGTTATATCTCCTCCTCAAATACATCCAGGATATTACAAGAAACATACAGAATTCTGGTCTAATGTACCCTCCTATTGAGTGATTCTATTAACCTAGATGTTTAGAAGTACTTAGAATATGATTGTCTGGAAATGCTCATTTGATTTCAGCATTTACAGGCAAATGTCAGGACTCTTTGACATTTTCCTCGAATGCTCCTAAAATGCTGAGATTGCTGACAAACATTCTCTTCTGCTGGATTTTGAATAATTATTATAAAATATACCTTGAGGTAGTCAGTTTGGTGGCAACATTTTAAGTTTTAATTTTCTTCAATATGATGTGAATTGAGAATTTCTCTAGAGGAAGTGAGATGATTTAAGCATTAAAAAGACTGTGCTGTAAAGTGAAAAGGCAAAGCCAGCGTATTAATACCTTTTGTTCTCTTTCTTAATTAGGAACCCCTATAAACAAGCCACCTGTTCTGGGATATAAAGATCTTAACCTCTTCAAACTTTTCAGACTTGTACATCAGCAGGGTGGGTGTGACAATGTAAGTGTAGCATTTCTTAACACTATCCTGCATTATTAATTTTCCCATTAAATGCAAGTTTAAATTTTTATTAGGAAATGTATAAAAGATGTTAGCAACTGAAAACATCTCCTCTTTCTTCCACCCATGCACCCAAAAGATTGACAGTGGAGCCGTATGGAAGCAAATTTATATGGATCTTGGCATTCCTATTCTGAACTCAGCTGCTTCCTACAATGTAAAAACTGCTTATAGAAAGTAAGTAGTCCTTTTTCATTATTCAAACTAAAAGGCTCCTGCCTAAAAGAATGAAAGGTTCTGCATGCATAGATTTTTGTAATCACACTTTTTTCTTTCAGCAGCTGTCATTCATATTTGCTGTGAACGCAGAAGAACCAGAGAGTTAACCATTTGGGGGATGGAGAATCTAATAACAATAACTTAATTGTGCTACACACATTGTATTTAATAATCTTAGAACTGCAAAACTGGAAGGGACCCTGTGGATCATCAAGTCTGGCCCCTATCAAGGTGGCACGGTGGGGAACCACCACACCACTATAGTGGGCTAGTATAGTGGCAAGCATCTACATTACCATACAGTTAGAAAGTAAAATAGAAAGCTAGTCAGCAACAGCTAGGATAAATAACAATTGAATTTCCTCTTCACTAATTGGCACGGTGGGGAATTGAGCCACCACTATAGTGGGCTAGTATAGTGGCAAGCATCTACATTACCATACAGTTAGAAAGTAAAATAGAAAGCTAGTCAGCAACAGCTAGGATAAATAACAATTGAATTTCCTGTTGTCTTCACTAATCTGACACACTGTTACTCAGAACATCTGGAAGATGAGTGAAGCAAAAGAAGAGAAAAGCCACTGTTTATTACTGCAGCTGAAGATAAATGTAGTAGTATGTTTAGGGGCTGTTGACACCTTGGATTTATCTCTAGATCAGGCGGTTACCTATACTAAAGAAGAATGTTGAGGTTCTTCTTCATGGCCTCTGTGAATCCACACAATTGGGTTGTTCTGCGCCTGCGCTGAAAGTCTCAGATGTTTCTAGAGCTTAAAGACACATGGTTAGTGGGACGTGCCCCCATGGAGCACATTATCCGTCCATCCTAGGTCCCCTCAGTTCCTTTTTTTCTGCCATGTTGAACAGACCTGTTCGGAGAAATAGAGCACTACTGTATATTGAATCATATCTCTCAATCATTATTTCTACAATCGTTTTCTTTATTCGACGTTTCCCCCTGTGAGTTCTTTCCAGTTTTTCTCTACCCGCATTTTGCCTTTTTTTTCCCCCCTTCCCCTCCTACGACCGTTTTTCCCTCCTATCCTTCCCGCTCTTTATGGGCTCCCCCCTTCCCCGGGCCTTTCAAGCAGTGCGTTATCTGTGCAAACAAGGTCCCACTAGCTGACGGGCATGACCGCTGCCTCTTTAGTCTTGGGGAACAACATCCGACCCATTCCTGTTCAGCGTGTAAGAGGCTAATTAAACCAGCTCTTAAACATCACCTCCAAAGATTGAGGTCTTATTTCTTGGAGAAATCTCTCAACCCATCTGTGGCCTGCATGGAGTCTGCTCGATCTCCAGACCCTCAAATAGAGTGGCAAAATCCATCCATGCCTGCTTCCAGCTCCATGATTCCTTCTTCCCATCCTAAGGAGAAGCTGAAGTCCACCTCAAAGTCGACGCCAAAGACCTTGATCTCTAGATTCTTCCAAAAAGAAGACAAAATGACATAAAAGACCTCAGAATCGACTCAGCTTGATCCACCACACCCGACTCTTCCATCTCCCATTCTGGAAGAAACGTCCAGAGAGGCTCCAGGCTCTACATCTGACAGAGATGACCCATCTCTACCTCTGGTCCAAGCTCCAGGCTCTACCTATAGCCTGTTGCTAATGTGCATTCCAGCCAGGCCTCGGCCCTTTCGAGCCCTGCACCATCAGGGTGGGCAGTTCTAATTGAGCTCTCTGGTTCCAACTCACCTAATCACTCTCTGAAAAAACATTGAGAGAAACGAAAGCATCTATCACCACCTCAGTATAGGTGAGGAGGTGATTGAGGATAATACCCAGTCACTCAATAGGTGATTGAAGATAATACTACTATTATCCTCAATCATCTCGATACCAATTTCGAGATGATACAAGAGAAAGATATCAATATGTCCCTTATATCATTGAGGATCCTCAAGAACACCTATATTATGAGAAATCCAAACAGTTCCAATATACCTTACCGCACCGCACCCCCCTCTGATATTCACCGTCACTGTCTCCATCTCCTCCTCGACAGCAACACTGATCTCAGCGCTCCATACCTACTCATTCAGCTCTCCCATCTAAACCAACTTTAAAACACCCTCTACTGATTGTGCAACACTCCCAATCTAAACGTTCCAAACATTCCTCCAAGAACCTTCCCCAAACATCATTGCAAGTCACTACCACTTATAAAGGTCCCCCTCTGCCTATCGATACAGAGAGACACTCCACATGTCTGGTTCCTATGACACAGCCTCCTTCCACACAAGCATCAGTCTCGAGACCTTTCTCCCTCATCATCATCTTTATCAGTTCAAGACCTGGCTTCTGATACGTCACAAGAATCACCATCAAATTTACCAATACCAACCTCCGATGTCACTGAGAATCATCCACCGTCTCCATCAGAGGACTTCTCCTCTTACTCTCAGCTTGTCATGAGAATGGCCAATAGTTACAATTTGAAATCAAGGAACCACCTAAACAAGACTTGGTCTTTGACAACATTAATCAAGATAAAATGCCTCCTCTCAGCTTGACCATGCTTATTCTGGCCATGCTTAACCTAATCAAAGAATCCTGGGACAAACCTCCTTCATCCTTACAGATTTCCAGACATACTGAAAACCATTACAAGGCACATGGTCCCGATACCAATTTCCTCACCAAACATCCCACACCAAACTCAATAATAGTAGAGTCCAACCAGTCAAGAGTCTGGAACAAATCCTCTGTTGCTCTTACAACCAGAGAAGGGAGAAAATTGGATATACTTGGCAGAAGACTTTATTCCCTTGCTTTGTTCATAATGCGAGTGGCAAACTCCCAAGCCGCAATGGGAGCGTACCATAGACAACTATGGAACAAATACTTGAAGCAGCTTCTGAATCAGTTAAATCAGAAGCCATCGATATCCATACTGAAGTTTCCACACTTGCTAAACAACAAAGAATTGCATTTCGCCATACTGCAGGTGCTGCATCTAAGGCTATGGCCACCTCTATCACCTTACGATGTCATGCATGGCTTCAGTCTGCTGGACTATCAGATGATACCAGATCTAGAATAGAAGATCTGCCATTTGGTGGAGCCGGACTATTCAACCAAAAAATGGATGAAGTAATGGAAAATCTTCACAGAATCTATAAAATAGCCCGGTCCTACTCAACCCAACAAACATACAAATATCAACGGCCACAATACCGATGACAACCATTCTATCGGCAATCATACCAACAATTTCAGCCATATCAACAATATATACCCCAATCATCCGAAAGACCCTTTCAGGGATCTTCAACCTTGGCACCGTTGTCCTTTCAGAACCAGCAACAACAGCGCCGTCAACCCTTTCGCCGCCCTCAAAAGAAGCTTGAGCAATACCCATAAAACTCCCTTCACCTTCTTTCCATTATCCAACTCAGTTCCAAACGAGACTAGGTCCATTCTTTCATGCATGGCAATCTATGACTATTGATCATTGGGTCCTCTGTATCATCAAACACGGTTACTTCATTGAATTTAAAACTTCTCCACCAATTAGAAAAATCAAAAATACCCCATATTCTACAATTCTTCAAGAAGTCTCTCTTCTGCAAAAACAAGCCATAACTACTGTCCCTTCATCTGACTTGCATGATGGCTTCTACTCCAGATACTTTACAGTACCCAAAAAGGATGGATGACTCTGCCCCATCCTCGATCTCAGAAATCTCAATAAATTCATTCTACCTCAACACTTTAGAATGTTGACACTGGACACTATCATTCCTCTCCTTTCACAGGGAGATTGGTTTGTCGTCATCGATCTCCAAGATGCCTACTTTCACATCTCAGTTCATCCAGATCACCACAAATTTCTTCGGTTCTAGTTAGACAACACCAAATACCAGTTTTGCTCTCTCCCATTCGGGCTTTTCACAGCACCGAGGATCTTTACGAAAAGCATGGCACCAGTGGCTGCCTACCTTCAACTTCAAGGTATCAAAATATTCCCTTACATAGATGACTGGCTAATAGTCTCAACCTCATATCACGATGTCGTCAGAGCTACCCATCTCACTCTTGATACACTTCAAGATCTCAGCCTCAAGGTGAATCTCACCAAATCACATCTCGAACCCTCTCAAGATGCAACCTACATCAGAGCCCACTTCAGTTCACTGCAGGCCAGAGTCTTCCTCAAGAGAGAATCCTCATACTAAAAAAGGCTATTCAACCCTTCCGACCTCTAGCCTCGGTATCAGCCCATCATGTCCAACATCTTCTCAGACTCATGGCCTCGACAACTTCAGTCATACAACACGCTCAACTCAAAATGAGATCAGTCGTGGTAGCTGCCCCTATTCGACCCCATGACGGATCACCCATCTATGCATCTAACCGTAACACCCAAATCTGCACATCAACTTACTTGGTGGACATTTCTCCTGAATCTCCTTGTCTGACAAGCCTTTCTCCCTCTTCAACCGATGATACAAGTTGCCACCGATGCCAGCCTATCCAGTTGGGGAGCACACTGTTTGCATCACAAAATTCATGGCCTATGGACAAATCAAGAAAAAACATTACACATCAATCATCTCACACTTTTGGCAATTATCAAGGCGTTCCACACTTTCCTACCACTTATCGCAGGATGCGTTACCATCGACATCTTTGCTTCTCGAGCAAATGCTTACATTACTGTTCTCGAGCCAGTTTTGACAAGAACTCGATTGGAGACACATTCATGATAGACTGGGACAAGGAACTCCTCTATCTATTTCCTCCCATACCGCTCATGCAAAGGACCATCATTAGACTCCGACACTTCAGTCCAATGCAAGCCTTCTCGCCCCGTGGTGGGCGAGGCAACCGAGGTTCACCCACCTCAGGTTGATGTCAACCGACTCATTCAGGCTCCCTCTGATCCCCAATCTTCTCACTCAAGAGGACTGGATGATTTACTACCCAGATATACCATCTCTGAATCTGACAGCCTGGAGGATACTCCTGCCATAAAGGACGTGCTTGATCGAGCTTGAAAGCCCTCAACCCAGCTCCTGTATCAAAATTAATGGAAAGCATTCCTTTCCTTTACTGACTCCCATAATTTACCTGCAACACCAGTTTCCTTGAAAACATTACTTCCCTTTGTCCTTCATCTATTCAATTTTGGATTGTCCTACTCCCCTCTGAAGTCTATATCTCTGCTACTGTAGCTCATCAACCTCCCAACTCTAAATCAGCTAAAAAAATTTCTCACCCAACTGTAAAAAGGTTTTTTAAAAGACTCAACAATATTCGTCCTCCACGCCAACGTATTATCCCTCAATGGTCTCTACAACGTGTTCTCAATACACTCATGCATCCACCTTTTGAACTTATGGCTACGTGTAATCTCAAATTACTATCATTGAAAACTTCCTTTCTTGTAGCAATAGCATCCACTAAATGGGCTAGCGAAGTTACAGCCCTCCGTTCCGATCCACCCTTCCTTCAGTTCCATCCGAATAAAGTCATGCTATACTTCGATATTTCCTTCTTACCCAAAGTTGTATCTGAATTTTGCCTTGATCAACCAGTTATCCTACCAACACTCCTTACGTCACCATCAACACCTCTTGAGCGCATGCTCCATACACTTGACGTAAGACGCTCTCTCGCCTTCTACATTGACAGGACCAAGCCTTTCATGGAATCACACAAACTTTTTCTATGTTTTCACGGTCCTCACAAAGGGGCACCAGCTTCCCCACAATCTATTTCTAGATGGATTGTTCAAACTATATCATTGGCGTATGAGTTATCAGGCAAATCACCTCCTGAATGGCACACTCCACCAGAGCGCTGTCAAGGTCCACTGCCTTCCAACGTGGGATTGCACTCCCTCACATCTGCCGTGCAGCCACATGGTCTACTCCAACGACTTTTATCAGACATTACCGTTCGGATGTCAGAGCATGGAGAGATGCTGGTTTTGGCAGAGCTGTCTTGGTGTCCTTTCTACCATGACGTCCCACCATCCGGTAAGTGAGCTTGCTGGTCACCCAATTGTGTGCATTCACAGAGGCTACGAAGAAGAAAGGTTAACTACCTGTAACCGATTCACAGAGGCCACGAAGAAGAAAGATTAACTACCTGTAACTGTGGTTCTTCTAGTGGTCCTCTGTGAATCCACACATCCCACCTGCCCTCCCCTCTGTCACATTTTATCTTAAATGGCTCTTTTACCTGGCGGACACTTTTCAGGAACTGAGGGGACCTAGGATGAGTGGAGCATGTGCTCCACGGGGGAACATCCCACTAATCATGTGTCTTTAAGCTCTGGAAACCTCCAAGAGGTTCAGCGCAGGTGCAGAACAACCCAATTGTATGGATTCACAGAGGACCACTAGAAGAACCATGGTTACAGGTAGGCAACCTTTCTTTTTGTACTGCCTGGAAGACGAGAAGAGTTTCTGTGTCTTATTAAAATGGCAATACATATGTCTTTCAAATGTCTTCAGGTATCTCTATGGTTTTGAAGAGTACTGCCGCTCTGCAAACATTCAGTTTAGAACCATCCACCACAATGAACCAAAAACAGTAGAAGTTGTGCAGACACAAGAAGAACCAATGGAGGAAAGTGTGAAAGAAGAGCCAGAGATGTCCCCTATAGAGGTTCAGAATGAGGCAGAAGAAGATGATTGTAGCAGTGAAAGTGAAAAAGAAGACGTTGAGCAGATGTCACCAAGGGTAAGCATTTCAAAAAGACCTTTGCTGTCTTGTAATTGATAACTTAAATTCACCCATTGGGGTAAGGTGGTCCTTCCTTGTGTGGCCTCTCAGCCTGTCTGCATCAAGCAAAAAGGTTTTGTCTTATTTTCTCCAAAATTCTCTCTGCTTTTCTTCCACCTTCATTTACAAATCTTTATTGATTAGCACTTGTAGGCAGCCATAAAACACCTTTGTAAGGCAGTGTTGTAAAATAAACAAAAAGTAAGTTTTAAAAATTGTCCGAAGAACAGTACCATCAAGTGATCAATGTTATTTGATTTAGATCAACATGAATGTGCTGATGACTAAAACGGTGGTTCTGAAGGGGAGAAAATCCCACATTTTTGGGTTTTTTTAGACACTTATTTGTGTGTATCTTGCAAGGGGCGCTACCGTTGAAGAAGCATTTTCCCCTTCAATCTCACACCACAGGGAAAGCGCCTTCTAAGATGATGCTTACGGTCTGTAGTTTTTAAGTACTTTTGTAGGCTTGAGAGACGATGGTAACGTGCTGTGAATAGAGGTCTTCGAACAGCATCTAGTTTGGCTGAGGAGGCCAATTCGAGAGTGACAATCCCTTCCACACTGAGTACTTACAGTTAGAGGAATTCATATGAAAACCTTTGCCCAGTTTAATCAGGGTGTATTTTAAAGTTTCTTTTTCTACAAACTTTAGATCAAATCCATTATGGTTTGTGATTCTAGCTTATACTGAAGTAGTGGGGGGAAGGGTTCAGTTCTTCTAACACGGTAAGAAGTTTAATTATGTTTTTGTATTATCCCACAATGGTTTTAATTTTTATCTTTTTTTATCACCTAGCGAGCTAGCTGCCTACTCACGTATTGGAAAAAGGACAGGTTAAAAAGATGAACTGAATATATCAATAATCACCATTATTTTCTAGCTTGAGTGTCAACACCCGCATGAGGACAGGGGTGCATGCTTGAGCTTCTGTATTACCTCTGCAGCAGGCTGGCTAGTTGATCACAGTGATCCAGAAGCATGACGAGATCTGGCTTTTTGTGAGCAAGATTGTGTCCTGGTGCGTTGCTGCTCCGAGGAGTAGCCCTGACTCTTACTGAATCTTAACAAGTCGTGATTTCTTCAGTTGTTGGTGTTTAGTCATTTAGTCCTGTCTGACTCTTTGTGACCCCATGGAGCAGAGCACGCCAAGGCCCTCCTGTCTTCCACTGCCTCCTGGAGTTGGGTCAAATTCATCTTGGTGGCTTCGGTGACACTGTCCATCCATCTCGTCCTCTGTTGTCCCCTTCTCCTCTTGCCCTCACCCTTTCCCAACATCAGGGTCTTTTCCAGGGAGGTTTCTTCAGTACGACATGTAAATCTGGAATTCTGGCTTGTCTGTCCCAAATGTGAGATGGTTATTATTCCAGCCTCTTTTTTGCATATCTTATTTAAGCAGTTTTAAAATTCATGTGTGTTGATCTCTAGCAATTAGAGTTCACATGTTTAGCTCTCTTAACGGGAAAGCTCTTGATACTAGCTTTCGATCATGGAGAAATACACCGCTTGTGTATTAATTGCGTTAAGTTCTTAGAAAATACCCTTTGTCAAGAAAAATCTTCAGCCTACTGCTGTAGCACCGTACTGTGTCATTTTGCTTCCTTGAAAGGCAGCAGTGCATTTAAGCAGCCTGGTTTTCCCTTCTCTGCTCCCTCTCCCCTCGTAGGGAAGAAGAAGGCTTGTCCGTGACATCACTGTTGCTAAAAAGGAAAGCGAAGAGGATAAAGGCCAGGACAAACTAAAAGATGTCAACAAGGAGAACAAAGATGCTGAGGAAATGTCCAATAATGCAGAAAAAAGGGAAAACGAAATGGCGCCGGGAAGCAGGAAAGCCACACCAAAGCAAAAGGAAAAGAAAGTGAAACAGGAAGAGGAATCTGACAGGGAGTCAGAAGAAGACGAGGAGAGGAGGTAAGGGGGGGGGAGAGAATCTTTTTTATGACTCTATGTCTGGTGTTGCAGAGAAGACGAGGAGAGGAGGTAAGGGGGGGGAGAGAATCTTTTTTATGACTATGTCTGGTGTTGCAGGACATACACACTGTTGAATATGAAAGTTCGTTCGTAAGTCGAGACCCCACTGTACACACTGTTGAATATGAAAGTCTATAAATCAGACATCCTGTGACAAAAATACTTAGAATGCAAATCCAGTGTATGCTTGATGAGGACCCAAGAGAGGGCCTTCTCCGCTACTGCTCCCAAGCTGTTGAACTCCCTCCCACGGGAGGTCAGGTGAGCTCCCCGTTCCTTTCCTTCCGCAGACAAAAGAGGTTTCTCTTCAAGAAAACTTTTTCTCAGAAACTTGATGCCTCCACCCTTCCCATTTTAATGTTGTTAGCCATCCTTGAAAAGTCGGGTACAAACATTTTAAATAAATAATATCTTAACGTGAGGTGGAAAAGATATCATTTAGCAGATTCTAAATGAATATGTAGTGGGCACCAGATATTAGATTCCATGGCTGTTGGAAGTGCTTAGAAATATGGTTGCAATGGATGTTGCCGATGTAATGCTAAACCGTTTTTTTAGTCTAGACTCTTCTCCTGTGGGCATGCATGCTCCTCCCCTCTTTTTTCACAGCCCCCTACGAAGGGTTGGAAGTTTTTGTTTTAGTTCAGCTTTCCTTATTGTTTAATTTGTTAAAATATGTGGTTACCTTTCACTGTGGTTGGTAAAACTTAACCAGCTTCACAAAGTACATCTGGAAGCTGGCTTCTTCCCATTAACTCTGTCCAGATTGTCCCGGTGTAAATGACACAGCAAGCTGCAGTTCATGCATACCAGAAACGAAGGCTTCTGAATTTTTTCCTCATGCTGGCTTTGGGGGGGTGTGAGCTTGTAAACCCGGGGGGTGAAGATGGGGCTCAACCTCTTTTCACATGGCTCTTAGCCTTTGCCTTGTCATTACCTGCAATTCACCCCAGCCTTTAAAGATTCCAGTTGAAAGAATTTCCAACCTCATGGTCCATTGTAATAACAGACAGTGCAAGAAAATATAAATGTTGAAACGTTGATTGATCTGCTGCTCATGAATTTTCTCTGAAATGGGTAAACCTGTATCCAAGGGAGCATAATTGATTTATAGAAAATCTACTTTGCACGTACGTGATATTCTGATTCAGGGCTCCAGAAGGCTGTGGCATGACATACTGATAAGTTGCTGGTGCTATAGCCATAAGTGAAAACCATTAGGAGAACGAGACCAGCATAAATCTGCTTCATGTGGGTCAGTCAGCTCCAAAGACCTGCTTTAACTCCAGCAACACTCTGGCCACTAGTCCTCATGGACCGTTTACATCCCCTGCTGCTTGAGTATTTTTTACCGCACACTGTACGGGTGACAGAGTTCTACTCAATATGCCTGTCTTGGGGTTGCTTTGATGTTTGTATGGAAAATTGTGTATACCTGTGAGAAACGTCTTCCTGTTTCCTTCGTTGCATCTATATGGAGCTGGAAGCCTGGCAGTGTGGTTAATTTCTGTAGTACGTGTCTGTGGCAGAATAAATGTGCACACAAGGAATTGCATAGGTGTTATTTTCATATGGCTTTCCTTTTCAGCTTTCTGTTTTGCAATAAACCTCACTAAATATACCTTGGGGGTGGAGATGCAGTGGTGCCTGCAAAGCCTTTTCTTAAGTAGCTCAATAACTGCTTAGGAAAACCACCCTGCAGCACCAAATCAGTTTTTTTTTTTTAAATGGTGCAAGGAAAGGCTGAGCACCACTTACGTTCAGCTTGACTTGGAAGCTTTCCACCGGCTCCTCCGTGTCACTGCAGGATGGATTAGCTGCTTGTGCAAGATTCATTACTTGGCAAGGACAGATTCTGCCTGGATTGCGTTGCTGAGTCATGTTGCTTCAAGGGAGAGGGTTGGCAGCCCAAAAGGGTCCCCCAGCTGCGCCGCTGCCTGCATTTTGCTCCTTAATTAGTCTGCATCCGGATCTTTTTGCAGGGATGAACTTGAAAACCGAGGGGAATCGGAAGGCGAAGAGGGCGAAGAAGACACGGAGCCATGCTTAACGGGAACCAAAGTGAAAGTAAAATACGGTCGTGGGAAAACTCAGAAAATTTATGAAGCCAGTATTAAAAGTACAGAAAATGATGATGGCGAAATTTTGTATTTGGTGCATTACTACGGCTGGAATGTAAGGTAAGGAGACCGACACGAACCTCGCTCTGATTTTGCTTGTTGCATTGCAGTGGCTTGTGAGGCTTGAGGAGAGGCTACCTGAGGTCACTGCAGACAAATGCCTGCAGGAATCCAGATTTTTTAAAATGTGGGCGCTCCTTCTCTCTCATCAGACACAAAGCACAATCAAGCCATTACATTTTTCCTTGCTCTCTTAAGAGCAGATTCATAAAGTCTTCCCCCTCCCCTTAGAGACTCTGTCACCTTGGAGTTTCTATTGTGCTTGTATTTAAGGCAGAAGTGGGGAGTCCCAGTTCCCCTCATCCAGCATGGCCTGGGCTCAGTGACGCCAGGAGTTGTACACCAGCAGCAATCAGTAAACCTTCTAACCTTCTGCCCCTCCCACTTATAGAGGGAAATGGTCTTGTGGACCTGCCCCCAAATAACAAGATTTGGTTTGTCCCACTTTTTTTTTTGTATGACTGACTGCCATCAGTCCTAGCTTTATTTTTTATTTTTTATTTTATTTTATTGGTATGATTGACTGCCATCAGTCCTATAAAAATGTTAACTCAGGGCATGGCTCAGAATGTCCCTAATAACATTCATTAATACAACCAAAATAAGGTTTTGGAAGTGGAACCTTATTAGTATCTTGAATTATCACTTACTATTTATAAGGAATAATAAGCTTTTTTGTTTACAGTTATAAGAATAATTTGTCTTCCTTTTTTCTTGAAGAATTAGGGTGCTGGACTTTTGCCTGATGCCTTGCAATCCACTGTGCCTCAGGTTTCCGAATCCTAGTTCAGAGCTCTTTCTACAATTGCCTTGTGATTAAAAGGCCATTGTTGACTGGGATGATAACCAGGTTTGTATTTCCTGTAGGTACGATGAGTGGGTGAAAGCGGATAGGATTATTTGGCCTGCAGAGAAGGGAGGACCAAAGAAGAAGCAAAAGAAAAAGGCAAAAGTAGGTAACATTCATAATGAATTAATTATCCACATACCTGTACCCCTCCTCCCCCCCCCGATGCCTGTTCAGTGAGTGGTACCTGCTGCTATTAACCAGTCATCCAGATACATAAGAGTTTTGCAGAATTCCCACAACACTTTTCTAAGGCTGCCTGATTCGGCTGGGGGGCTGGGGGGGGGGCTTTTCTTCTTGAAGGTGGTCTCTNTTTCTAAGGCTGCCTGATTCGGCTGGGGGCTGGGGGGGGGGCTTTTCCTCTTGAAGGTGGTCTCTGGCAGCAGCTTAATTGCGTAACGCTGGAGAATGTGTCGAGGTGTGAAGATGGAATTGGTTTTGTCCCCTTTCCCACTACTTAAAGTGAGCAAGGCAGAACTCTGTTCAGATGTTGAACTGTACCTGCCATCAGCCTTAATGAGCTAAAGCACGCTCGGAGATAGTGCCCAAGGAGCACACGGAGTGCTATAGTTGATCACTTCTGCTTTATGAATGGGGGCTTTCTTATGATTTTTCAAAGCATCATCCATCTATTCCAAACTCTTCTGCAGTTTTAATCCTGTGGACTGAGCAGCAAATAAAACAAATTGTCCTTTAAGTTGTTCTCACCTGTCATAACTTTCCCCCACTGTGCTTCTCATCCTGAAATTCCGTATAGTTCTTCCCGGCAACACCACTGTAGTACTGTAATACGTACAGTGGTCCCCAACAGTTGGGAGGCGGGGTCTGTGCCCATGGGGGCAGGGCACCCCCACGCTCGTGGGGGGGCAGGCCACACTCGCCGGGGGCACATGTGTGAATGGGCAGCCCGTGCTTATGGGTGGGCAGGGCATCCATGCATGAAGGTGGGTGGGTGGGGAGTGCATGCGTGGGGAGATCTGTGTTCGCGGCCCGGTCCTCCCAAGGCCACGGTCCAGCACCGGGCCGTGGACCGGTGATTGGGGACCCCTGCAGTAATACACATTGCTCACTGAAACACAAGAGGAAACTCAATCCTTCTTTAGTCCTTAAGATCCATTTAAAACAAAGTTAAGACGAAAGCTTGCTAAAATCTTGCAGAGGTCTTCCCTAGGGGACATCTCTGTGATATGCACACCTATAACTTCCTTACAGACTTCCTCTAACCCCCCTCGGGGGGGGAACTCAGAGAAAGTAAAGCAAATCTCTTTTTAACAACAACTAACATTTAAAAGCTATTTGTGCGCAAAAATGGTTAGTCTTATTTAAAAATGTACAGGCTCTGCCTCTTCAAAAGATGGGCTTGCAGATTCCGTACGATTCTGTTAGCAATCAAACAAGATACACCATTTTAAAATTGCTTGTGATAATGAGCGGGAAGATAAGAGATTTGGCTTTCTTTCCAAGCCAAATGGGGCCCCTCCCAAAACAGTGCAAGTTGTATTTGGCCTGTCTACTGAATTGCCAAATCAGAGTCGGAACTCAAAGGGATGGTGGTTGCACCTTTCTAAAGAAGTTTCTGTTTGTGTTCAGAGTAAAGAAGACTGTGAGAAAGATGAAAAGAAAGAAGAGGAGAAACAAAAAGCAAAACGTGGGCGTCCTCCCCTGAAATCGACTCTTCTATCCAACCTTTCTTGCACTCTATCCAAAACACCTAATAGCGAAAGTAAACTGGGAGTCCGAAGTGTGCGCAACAGTCTTCCGGATTGCGCACTCTTGCCAAATGGGACAGAAGGTATTTCCGGCTTGCCTCTGTGATATGTGGCATTTTCATGGGCACAAGCTGTTCGTGATGCCTGTTAGGGTGGGGAGTGGATTGTATCTTGGAAGTCAAGACAGACAGATGCATGAATGTGGAGGGGGGAACACGCCAAAAAATGGCTGTAAAATGCTTTCTTTGATGCCTTATTCTTCTATTTTTCCATTAATGCCCCTTTTAATATTTAGGAACGCCTCGTAGGCAAACAAGACGCAGCTCAGGAATGTTGGATTCTGACAGAGGGTCAAATGGTGAGTAGGAGGTTTTTTTTTTTTAATGGAAAGAAGAGAGTGTTTTATGAAACTGGAAAGAGTTGTAGAAGAGAGTAAAAAAGACAACACCTACAACGTGGAGAGAGTCATTGGGTTTGTTTCTGCCTGCCATCTGAAGGTACTAAAAGTCAAAATATAAATTGTACTCCAGAGACTATAGTTATCAATAGTTAATTAAGAGTTCCCTCCCAAGTAGATATAAATAATCCATTGCCTCCTTTGATATCTGATTGCAGTCTAGTACAGCAGTGGTCCCCAACCTTGGTCGTCCAGATGTTCTTGGACTTCAACTCCCAGAAATCCTGGCCAGCAGAGGTGGTAGTGAAGGCTTCTGGGAATTGCAGACAAGAACATCTGGAGGCCCAAGGTTGGGTACCAGTACAGCATAGTAGAACGGGTCATTCTGGAGGCCCAAGGTTGGGGACCACTTTAGTACAGTATAGTAGAACGGGTCACATCCAATCACATGAGTATATTCTTCCAAGGAATGAGGAGCATTCTCCATTACTCTTCTATTAGCAGGGGGAGAAAAGTTGTGATTTATAACTTCATGCACCTTTGTAAGAACAGACACATGGAAATGGAACCTAGCCCATACTTTCTGTAGTTTTATGTGAACAGTGTTTCTCTAGATTTTGTCTGAAATTATTCCTTGATTATTCTTTGCTGTTTATGTTTTGGTAGACTCTGTTTCATCTGACAGTGATGCCGAGGAAACTTCTGAAAAAAATCTAAATGAAGAGTTCTCTCCAGCCCATTCTGAACAAGGAAAATATGAGAAACGAACAGCTGAGAAATCTGGTGTAGAGATCCCACGGATCTCACAGGTGCTGAAAGACAATGATAGGAATCAAGTCCCTACTTCAGAAGCACTGAAGTTAGACGCCGAAGAAGCCGAAGAAGCAGGTCATCTTTTTGGCAACAAGAACGATCACGGAGAAGACCTGAAGAGAGAGATAGAAAAATCGCCTAAAGGAAAAGGGAGGAGGAACAGAACAAGAGATTCCTCCCTAGAGAATGTAAAAATCGCAGCACTAACCCAGGAAGAGGTAAATGAACATCTTGGAGAATCCGAGAGATTAGATATGTCCACTTTGGACAGCAAATGTTTAAGCACCAGTTTTGAAAATGAAACGGATCCTTTTGCAAAAGATAGGAAACTTTTGAAAAGGAAGATGATAGAACAACCATCCCCAGACAAACGAGGGCGACCAGAGAACGAAATAGATGTGCCAAATATTGTGAATGACAGAAGAACGCATGAATGTTCTGGGACAGAAGAATGTAAGGACGTCAGGGCTGAGGAGTCCCTCGGAAATGAGAACGAGGAAATGCCATCCTTGGTGGCAGAATCGGATCAGCGCCTTCAAGTTCAGGGAGGTGAGCATTCCGATAGTTCCTCTGAGGCCCATCAGAATGCCCTGTTGAAAGATGAAGATGACGCCATGCCTCAGATTGGGCCAGAAAACCTCCTTTGTCACGAGGTGGACTTGGATGACCTTGATGAGAAGGACAAGAGCCTGCCGGAAAGCTTTCTCATGGGTAAACAAGATGCCAGCCATCCCGCTCCGAACCCCCCTGCCTTGCCTCCGGTGATGCAGCCGGGCTTCTCTGCGGCCTCACCTCTCGCCCTCAGCCAGGACGAGTCCCACAGCATCAAAAGCGAAAGCGACATCACCATTGAGGTGGACAGTGTGGCTGAGGAGTCTCAGGAAGGCCTCTGTGAAAGCGAGTCTGCCAACGGGTTTGACGCTTGCACCACTTCAAGCAACGGGAGTGTGGCCGTCCCAGAAAGGGAGATGGGAGAGAAGGGTAAGTCTTGCCTTCCAAATTTAAAAAAAAAAGGACTTGAAGTCAATGTGATGGGGAAAACAACTGCTGGCTGAGGAGCAAAGTTAATCCCCATTTAAGGTGTGGCTTTCCAAGGGCTGCCTCAGAAACTCTCCATGTTTTGTGGATGCTTACCCCATCCAAACAGTGAACAGTAGCCCGTATTGGCATTAGTTGCAGCTTAGAAATCGGCAGCCATGTGGGCGTCTGCTGCCAGGATTCTGCAGCTCCGACAGCTGTGGCAAATGTTCTCCAACCACAGGAAGTCGTGACGGGCTCAGCTTGTCCTTCAGAGTCTCTTGAAGCACGTTTGAAGCTCAGCACAGCTGGCAGGGATTCCCCAGGTCCCAAGCTAAAATTCAGTGTAGGGATGGGGGAGCCCTTGAAAGTGTGGCGCAGTAAAGCAAGCCTCTTTGCACAGATACCAAATCCTGAATTAGGATGAGGAGTGAGTGACGGATTATGACTGTATTCTAGATTCTGGAGGCCCAGAACAAGGTCAACCGTATGCTCTTCCCCACCCCTTTTTCCCTTTGAAGAGAAGTAAACACTGACCAAGATTGTGGATCTCTATTATATATCTAAAAAAACTAAACTGCATCATAGAGGTGCACTGAATTGTGGATGTCTGTTATATATATGAAAAACGAAATGTATGCAGGTCTCAGTGCTACGCTGTCTGTTCTTGAATTAACAAATTATGTAAGTACTGATCAAGAGCTGTACAAACGCTCATTTCCTCAGAAATGACAACGGCCACCTCTCCTTGTCTGCCTCCAGTTGCTGCCTGCTCTCTCGTGCTTTGCTAGAGGGAGCTAACCCAACTGAGGGATGCAGCTGCACAGCATAAAGGACACACAGAACCTGCAGAAAAAATATTGTAGCATGGTGTGCTCTAGCCGTTGCATTCCCTTTCAGCTGCTGTCTATTTTGTCCTTTATTTTCGAACTGTTCTACAGCGATTAGGCCCAGCCCCTTCTCCCCCGCAACCTCAACGACTTTCCCTTCCTGAGATTTATTTGTGTTGTCACTGTGATGGTTGTTAGTATAACTACTATTACTGTTCTCACTACTCCTCCTTGCCTTGTATTTTTGCCCTGAACATTTGGGGGTTGATTGTGCCAATTTAACTGCCTAAGAATTCATGCCAGGGAGAATTGCAGTTTGTAGTCATATAGGTGATCATACCGAAAGGCTCTGTGTGTACATCTGTCTGATTTGCCAACAGTGGATGAGAACCCTGTAGCTGAGGGGGTGAAAGATAGTGAGGAGAGGAGAGCTTTCTGCAAGCAAGCTGCCGTTTGCAGATTCGGTAGTCATATAGGTGATCATACCGAAAGGCTCTGTGTGTACATCTGTCTGATTTGCCAACAGTGGATGAGAACCCTGTAGCTGAGGGGGTGAAAGACAGTGAGGAGAGGAGAGCTTTCCACAAGCAAGCTGCCATTTGCAGATTCACAGCCGCTATGATAGTTAAAAGAGGCTGTTGGCCACTCACATTTGCCTAACGTTTTAGGCATCAAAATAACAAATATTTGGGAAGCCCAAAAGAAATCTCAAAATTGATCATTCCTAAGCAAGAGGGTCCTAGAAGGTAGTGACTCTTAGTATGTGAGGCACTCTCATCCCTGCAGGCAAGAAAGCCGTGTGTAGAGACCGTGAATAAGAAAATAGAATGTTGGATACTTCGCTGCAGAATGTTCCCCTCTCCTCTCCATTATTTTGGAACACGACTGGACAAAAATTGTCAAGGGGAACCTTTACCTTTACCTTTAACTTAGGCATCAAAATAACAAATATTTGGGGAGCCCCAAAAGAAATCTCAAAATTGATCAATCCTAAGCAAGAGGGTCCTAGAAGGTAGTGACTCTTAGTATGTGAGGCACTCTCATCCCTGCAGGCAAGAAAGCCGTGCGTGGAGACCGTGAATAAGAAAATAGAATGTTGAATACTTCGCTGCAGAATTTTCCCCTCTCCTCTCCACTATTTTGAATTTGGATTTCTCTGCTTTCAATATACAATTCTCATTACCATCCTGTGATGGAAAGTCTTTTTCACTTGCTTCTATGTGCCCTGCATGCTTCTCCTGTTGCATATCTGATGACTAGCAGATGGTGACACCACAAGGTTTATTATATTACATCTCTCTTCTTGCTTCCTCTGCGGTGGAACACTGTGGCCTTTTCCTTGGGCAGATCTACGTTAAATTTTCCCTCTGCAGTAACTTTGGCTTTAGTGGCTGCTTGCCACCCATTGGGGCTGAAATCCTGTTGCTTAGTGTAGCGAGTCACACTTACGTTCAGGTGATTGAGTTGCAAAAAGCCATTTGAATTCATGGAACCTAGGAGGACTTGACTTACCAGATTCCCACTGATTCAGTGGACCTTCCTCTAGTAGACTTACCAGATTCCCACTGATTCAGTGGGCCTTCCTCTAGTACACTTACTACGCTGAACAACAGGATTTCAGCCACTGTGTTTTGGTTTCCATTTTTGGACCTTTGTGCTTCTTTCCTATCTTGGCACTTGTGGAATAGAGTGACAATTTGCAGTAGCATGTCATTAAAGACTATTAAATAACTAACCATTGTTCTTTCTTTTACTGTCAGGTCAAAAGAGGCCCGGTGACCATATCAGCAACTCAGTAGCAAAGAAGCAAAAGCGTACCCCAAAACGAGCAAGCACTGTAGCCAAAAATGAAAAAAATGGAACAGGTACGTGTGCCTTTTTCAGGAAGGAACGTACGTTCTTGTAATAATTCATTCTGTATCAACAGATACTTTGCCTGTTTGCTTACCCCCTTGTAGAGCCAAAGTAGAGAACATTGGTAAGCCCACAGTTGTGCTGCTATGTGTTTCTGATTTTTTAAATAGGGAGCAGAGGACCGTTTTTTTAATGACATGAGATTTAACAGTTCAATGAACGTGTCTTCATCACAGCTTTATCGTTGTACTATGTCCCTGCAGATACAAATTGAATTTTGCAAGCCTAGGTAGGTTCTTAGCCTCCCTTTCCCCAGAAGTGGCTACCAGTTATAGACTGTTTGCATGTGCAGAGGATGGTGTCCTGTATCCAAGGGAAAGCAAGGCCGAAGAAACCAGCTGCTGCTCATGAAATCATGGGATTTGTGTTGCACCTTTTAGTTGAGGGATGTACAGATGGCTCATATTTAGACCAGTGGTTCCTGTATGCGGTCCACACACACTACTTAGTAGTCTGAGAGGCTTCCACTGGTGATACATGGAGGGACTGCATGGATTCATCCAGGAAGCCCCAGTCTGACTGGGTGAGTTAAATGGATGAACCATTAATAGTGTGTGTCCACAATGAAAAGGTCACAGTGAAGGAACCCTTGTTTCCTGCAGTGTACTTAAGATGAGTGCAGTATAACGGTCAGGAGCATGTCATGGACTTCACATGTATTAGAAGTTTATTTCTGCTCTGCTTTGATGCCTTATAAGTAACTTTTCAAGTGCAATATCCTAAACTCTTCATTTAAGCCAAAAGATCCACTGTTATTCATGCCAGTGTATGTTAATTAGTTAATTAGTTGGACTGTGTTACTTGGCCTGCGGTGTAGATGTTTGTATTTTTAGTGGGGGACTTTTAGTGGGTGGGGAGTGTTTGGGGAATTTTATGTGTGTGCATGTGTCTGGTCTCTGGGTGTCTGTGAATTTCGTTGTATGT